TGAGCTTCTTTCTGGATGTTCTGTCCTTCACTGAAAGTGGCATGTTGTAGTCTCGTACTACTATTGTGGAGCTGTCTATCTCTCTTTTCAGTGCCTTTAGAGTTTGTTTTATGTATTTTGGAGCCCTGTCATTGGGTGTGTAAATATTTATTAGAGTTATGTCCTACTGGTGTATTGACCCTTTAATTATTATACAGTGTTCTTCCTTATCCTTTGTGGTGCATTTTACTTTAAAGTCTATTTTGTCAGAGGTTAATATTGCCACTCCTGCTCTTTTTTGAGTGTTGTTTACTTGATATATTTTTTTCCATCCTTTGAGTTTTACTTTGTTTGTGTCTTTAAGTCTAAGGTGTGTCTCTTTTAGGCAGCATATAGACGTATCCTGCTTTTTTATCCAATCTGCCACTCTCTGTCTCTTTATTGGTGCATTTAGTCCATTTACAGTCAGCGTTATTATTGATAGGTACGAGTTAATGCTGTCATTTTGATGTCTTTTTTTGTTTGTTGTTCACAGTTTCTTTGTTCCCCTTAATTTTCTGTGCTGAATCATTTTTCTTTATGTATTTTCTTTTTATCTTTTTCATTGTTGTTCATTTTGTGTTTGCTGAGTCTTTATATTTTTCTAGTTTTTTTATTTTGTTTTGTAGGATTGTTAGTTTGCTTTGTGGTTACCTTAAAATTTACCCCTATTTTTCTAAGTTTATACCAGCCTTTTATTTCTTTATATCGCCTTGACTTCCCCTCCATATGACAAATCTGTGTCTACATTTTTTAAGTCCCTCTTTTTTGTTTTAATATTGTCCTTTTTTATGTATTGATATCTCTGTTTACCTGTTTTCCATGTTTTAGCTTTGATGTATTTTTGTGACTTCCCTATCTGAGTTGATATCTGGTTGCTCTGTCCTGTGTTCTAGTCTTGCGTTGTTATCTGACGTTATTGATTTTCTAATTGGAGGACTCCCTTTAGTATTTCTTGTAATTTTGGTTTGGTTTTTGAAAATTCCCTAAACTTCTATATATCTGGAAATGCCCTAATTTCACCGTCATATTTGAGAGACAGTTTTGCTGGGTATATAATTCTTGGCTAGCAATTGTTTTCCTTCAAGGCTTTATATATGTCATCCCATTGCCTTCTTGCCTGAATGGTTTCTGCTGAGTAGTCCAAGCTTATTCTAATTGACTGTCCTTTGTAGATGACTTTTCTTTTATCCCTAGCTGTTCTTAAAATTCTCTCTTTATCTTTGGTTTTGGCAAGTTTGATTATAATATGTCTTGGCAACTCTCTTTTGGGATCTACCTCATGTGGGGTTCAATGAGCATCTTGGACAGATATCTTCTTATCTTTAATGATATCAAAGAAGTTTTCTGTCAACAAATTTTCAACAATTCTCTCTGTATTTTCTGTTAGCCACCCTGTTCTGGTACTCCAGTCACTCATAGGTTATTTCTCTTGATAGAGCCCCACATAACTCTTAGAGTTTCTTCATTCTTTTTAATCCTTTTATCTGATTTTTCCTCACATAAGTTGGTGTCAAGTGCTTTATTTTCAATGTCACTAATTCTGACTTCTACTGACTCAGTTCTGCTCCTATGACTTTCTATTGAGCTGTCTAATTCTGAAATTTTATTATTAATCTTCTGGATTTCTGATTGCTGTCTCTCTATGGATTCTTGCAGCTTCTTAAATTTGTCATTATGCTCTTCAATAACTTTTTTAAGTTCCACTACTGCTTTGTCTGTATGTTCTTTGGAAGTTTCTGCGCTTTGGAGAATTTCCTTTCTAATTTCTTGAAGAGTTCTATATATTAATCTTTTGTATTCTGCCTCTGGTAATTCCAAGAAATTCTCTTCCTCCAGAGAATTTATTGATTCTTTATTTTGGGAGCTTGCTGAAGCCATCATGGACTGCCTCTTTATGTAATTTGATATTGACTGTTGTCTCAATAATTTATTATAATTTTGTATCTGTTTAGTATGCCCTAGCTTCTTGTTTTGTTTTGTTTTGATATGCCCAAATAGGCTGGTCGTGTGCACTAGTTTGATTATTGGTGTCTTTTAATCTCTAATGTCCTGTCACCAGGTAGTTAGCTCTGTAACTAAGTATGTGCACCCAGGAGTCCATTAAATTTTCCTGTATTGATTCAGCTCAGGTGTCCAGGCAGTCAGTCACCAAGTGTGTGGTGCAGGCTCTACCTACGGTCTTAGAGAGGCATGAGTGATTGGTGTAGGCACAGGTATCTGGCTGCAGTAGGGGGGTCACACACTGAGCAAGGCAGGGGGCTGATGGCTGCCCCTGAGTATATGAAAGGTAAGCATGTCTCTGTTCCCTAGAGTGAGTAGGTAGGTGAGTTTTGCAGCCAGACTATAAGCACCCTACTCTGTTGGCTGTAAAGACTCAGGGGCACCACTTATTCTTGGACCCCTGTAGCAGGTGGCTAGGTGGCATGGGTGGAGCCACCAGTCCTCAAGCCTCTGATGCAGACCGGTAAGGTGCCTGCTTAAAGGGCAGAACAGTGTCAAACGTCAAAAATCTGCCACTTCACAGCTGAAACAGCTGAAGTTAGACTTCAGGTGTTCACCCTGTTGTACTGAGGTAGTGAGGGCTTACACTGTTGAGATGGGTCCACACAAGTCTGAGTTCCTGGCTTATGGGAGCCAGTAGCTTATTTTTTCTGTTTGTTAATTTTTTCCCTCTCCATGGCCAGGAGAATGGGTCAGAGTGCCTCATGGGATCTACTTCGGGCCCAGGGGACTCAGAGATCTCGGAAGCCAGCCAGACCAGTGCAGAGTGGGGAGGGAGGAGGTAAATGGGAAAGAGGTTTTTCCCAAATGGATTTTTTTTTTTTAAGCCCCGTGAGAGGCCACATGCATGTACTTATCTTTAGCCACTTGGCAGCCACTTGCTGCCGGATCTCTCTTGATGTGGTAACTGCCCCCGGAGCAAGCATGGGGAGCTGTATGTCTGCCTCACTGCGCACCCGATCTGGTCCAGGTTGAAGACCTGTGGCTCCCACCGAGTCAGGTCTGCTAACTCCTCGCTTCTTCTGAACCGTCTCCCTCTCCCCGCTGCAACTCAGTCCAATTCCTCAACTTTGCCTTGTTCAGAGCTCCTAGATATTCATATGCAATCAAAGCACTTGTTTTTCCAGGTCTTTGTTGTAAGAGGGATATAGGAAGCTGTCTGACTACTCTGCTATCTTGGCCCCGCCCTCCGGCTTTCAATAAAAGAATCAAGACATATACAAAAAAAAAAAAAAAAAAACACTTGAAGTGACAAAGCAGTCATCAAAACAGACTCAGATATTGACAAAGATTGTTGGAATGGTCGGACACGGAATTTAAAATAACTTACATATTAAAAGCTGTAATGGTAGACAGCATGAAAGATCGGATGGGTAGTTTTAGCACTGAGATGGAAACTATTAAGAAAGAATCAAATGGAAATTCTAAGAAAAACAAAACACACCATAGTAGAAATGAAGAATTCCTTCAATGGGCTCATCGGTAGACTCTACAGAGCCAAGGAATGAATCAGTGAACTTAAGTGAATAGAAACTAACCAAACTGAAAAATAAAGCAGAAAAAAAGATGGGGGTGGGGGAAGCAATATATAACTATATGCTGTCTACAAGAAATCTACTTTAAATGCAAAGACTTTTAGATAGGTAGAAAGTAAAGAGCTAGAGAAAGATATACCACCCAGATACTAACCAAAAGAAAGCTGGAGTAGCTGTATTTATATCAAACAAATTAGACTTCTGAGCACAGAAGAGGGATATTACATAATAATAAAGGGGTCACTCTCCAAGTAAATCAAACAATCTTATATATGTATGCATCTAAAAACAGAGCTTCAAAATGCATTAGGCAATAACTAATAGAATCAATAGAGCTAAAACAATAAACAGATAAACACACAATTATATTTAGAAATGTCAGCGATTCTCAATAATTGATAGAATAAGTACACAGAAAATCAGTAAGGATATAGACTACCTGAACAATAATATCAATCACCTTAACCTAATGGAAATTTATCAACAAATGCAAGACTAAGAAAGACCACATTATGAGCCATAAAACAAACCTTAGCAAATGTAAAAGAACAGAAACCATAAAAAATACATTCTTTGACTTCAACAGTATTAAACTAGAAATCAATAGCAGAATAATACCTGGAAAATCCTCAAAGATTCAGAAATTAAACAACACACTTCTAACTGATGCATGAGACAAAGAAGTCTCAAGGGAAATTAAAAAATATTTCAACCTTGATGAAAATTAAAATGCAGCATATCAAAATTAGAGGATGCATCTACTTTGGTGAGTTGTGTCTGGGGTCTTGAAAGCTAGCGAGCGGCAATCTAGATGCATCAATTGGTCCCAACCCACCTGGAGTAAAGGAGAATGAAGAACACCAAAGACACAAGGAAAGTATTAGCCCAAGAGACAGAAAGGGCCACATAAACCAAAGACTGCATCAGCCTGAGACCAGAAGAACTAGATGGTGCCTGGCTACCACCAGTGACTGCCCTGACAGGGAACACAACAGAGAGTCCCTGATGGAGCAGGAGAAAGGTGGGGTACAGAACTCAAATTCTAGTAAAAAGACCAGACTTAATGGTTTGACTGAGACTGGAGGAATCCCAGAAAGCATGGCCTCTGGACTCTGACAACCCAGAACTAAAACAGTTCCCGAGACCAACTCTTCAGACAAAGATTAGACTGGACTATTGGGACATAAAATGATACTCGTGAAGAGTGTGCTTCTTAGCTCAAGTAGATTCATGAGACTAAAGGGGCAGCTCCTGTATGGAGGTGAGATGCGAAGGCAGAGAGGGTCAGGAGCTGGTTGAATGGACACAGGAAATATGGTGTGGAAAGGAGGAGTGTGTTGTCACAGTACAGGGAGAGCAACTAGGGTCACATAGCAATGTATGTATAAATTTTTGTATGAGAAACTAACTTGAATTGTAAACTTTCACTTAAAGTATGACAATAAAAAAACAACAACAAAAAAGAGGATTAGGGTGTGATTGTAACACCCTTACTAAGGTCACATCCCTGATCCAATGTAAAGGGAGTTTCCCTGTGTGGCTTGCACTACCTTTTATCTTACAAGAGATAAAAGGAAAGGGAAGCAAGCAGAGAGTGAGGGACCTCATGCCACCAAGAAAGCAACTCCGGGAGCAGAGTGCTTCCTTTGGACCTGAGTTTACTGCACTGAGATGCTCCCAGACCAAGTGAAGACTGATGAGAAGGCCGACAGAGAGAAAGGCTTCCCCTGGAGCTGATGCCCTGAATTTGGACTTCTAGCCTACTATACTGTGAGAAAATAAAATTCTCTTTGTTAAAGCCAAAAAAAAAAAAAAATTAGAGGATGCAGCAAAAGCAGTGCATATGGGGAAATCTGTAGCAGCAAATGCTAGAAGAGAAGAAAGATCTCAAATCATTAACCTAAGATTCTACGGGGGTGGGGGGGAACAAGAGAAAGAAGGGCAAATTCAATTCAAACCAAGAAGGAAGAATAATAAATATCAGAGAAGAAATAAAACTAAAACAGAAAAACAATAGAGAAAAAATCAAACCAAAAGCTAATTCTCTGAAAAGATCAATAAAATTGATAAAGCTCTAGCCATACTGACCAAGATAAAAAGAGAGAAGACACAAATTATTAATGTCAGAAGTGAAAGAGGGGACATTACTACTGGCAACAAAGACATTAAAAGGATAAGAAGAGAATACTAGAAATCTATGCCCATGAATTAAAAAACTTAGCTGAAACAGACTGTTGTTGTTGTTATTGTTAGGTGCCGTCAAGTCGGCTCCGACTCATAGCAACCTTATGCACGACAGAATGAAACACTGCCTGGTCCTGCGCCATCCTCACAATCGTTATGCTTGAGCCCACTGTTGCAGCCACTGTGTCAACTCATCTTGTTGAGGGTCTTCCTCTATTTCGCTGGCCCTCCACCTTACCAAGCATGATGTCCTTCTCCAGGGACTAACCCCTCCTGATAACATGTCCAAACTATGTGAGACGTAGTCTCTCCATCCTTGCTTCAAGGAGCATTCTGGTTGTACTTCTACCAAGACAGATTTGTTTGTTATTTTGGCAGTCCAGGGTATATTCAATACTCTTCCCCAACACCACAATTCAAAGGTGTCAATTCTTCTTTAGTCTTCCTTATTCATCGTCCAGCTTTTGAATGCATATGAGGCAATTGAAAACAACATGGCTTGGGTCAGGCGCACCTTAGTTTTCAAGGTGACATCTTTGCTTTTCAACACTTTAAACGGATCTTTTACAGCAGGTCTGCCCAGTGCAATGCGTCTTTTGATTTCCTGACTACTACTTCCATGGGTGGTTGGTTTTTTTTTTTGGAAATAGAATAGAATGGAATAAATAATTCCTTGAAAGACACAAACTACCAAAGTTCACTCAAGAAGAAATAGATAACTTGAAGTGTGTTATATCTATCACAGAAATTGAATTTCTATTTTAAAACTTCTGAAAAAGAAAGTTTCAGGTCCAGATGGTTTCACTAGGTAATTCCACAGAACATTTAAGTGAGAAATAATAATTCTACACAGTCTCATCCAAAAACAGAAATGGAGAGAATACTTTCAAACTCATTTTACAAGCCTAGCATTACCCTAATTCCAAAACCAAAGACATTTCAAGAAAAGAAAACCAAATAGAATATTTCTTATGAACATAGAAACAAAAATCCTCAACAAAATATGAACAAATTGGACCAGCAATATACAAAAGGATTTTGTAGATTAAAAAGTGACATAAATCCAATCCCCAAAATGTGAGGATTAATCAAAGCCCCACTTTCCTACTTCTCAATCATTCCTGACACCAGCCACTCATGTGGCAGCACTTTCTCTGTCACTAGCCACCTGGAGCTAGGTCAGATCTCACAAGTTAAAAGGACACCATCCTTCTGACTGCCAAGTAGACAGATGCCAGCCACAAGCTTGGGAGTCCACACAAAATCCTCATTTCTGATCTACTGGCTGCAAATTCAGGGTTTTTCCACTACCCTGGGCTCCCTCACTTTCTCCTGGCTCCCACTACTCCATTGGGTTCAATAATTCACTGGAACAACTCACAGAACTCAAAGAAGATGCTATACTTAACGATTACAGATTTATTACATCAAAAGGATATAAATCATGATCAGCATAAAGAAGAGACACACGGGGTGAGGTCTTGGAAGGTTCCCAACACAGAACTTCTGTGTTCCAAAAACAGCGCACTACCCACCCCCTAACCATGTGCATCAATGTCTTTCACCAACAAGGAAGTTCCTGGAGCTTCCATGTCCTGAGCTTTTATTGGCTTCATTGCATAGTCACGACTGGGGCCTCACTGCATATGCATGATAAGGATCTCACTGCATATGCATGATAAGGATCTCACTGCATATGCATGTTAGAATCATACTCCTCCCCTGACATCAGCTGATTTCACGCCATGAGGTGATCCTTTTGGCTTGACCAGCCTCCATTCATTAGCACAAATCCTCCAGTATAGTCTTTAGTCCTAGATAACAAAAGGTATCTCAATTACTCAGGAGACTCCAAAGATTATCCCTCAGGAACTAAACACAAAGGCCAAATTGCTTTCTGTAAGGTGATTCATTACCTCACAAGGATAATACATCACAATAAAGTGGAATTCATCCCAGGAATGCAAGACTGGTTCAACATTCAAAAATCACATTAACCATATTAACATACTAAAAAGAAAGACACATGGAAAAATCTGCATAATCTTTGAATTTGGCTATGGCTTTAGATATATGACATCAAAGGAACAAGTCCTAAAATAACAAAACTTGATAAATTTGGTATATCCATACAATGGAATACTATTCAGCTATTCAAAGGAATTAACATGCTACTACATGGATGAACCTCAAAAACACTATGCTAAGTGACTATATATTGTATGATCAACTTACATGGAATGTATAGAAAAGCTAAATATATATAGACAGAAAGCAGATCAGTGGTTGCCTGGGGCTAGGGGCAGGAGTAGGGATTAACTGCAAATGGGCATAAGAAAACATTTTGAATTGTTGTGATCATAGCATAAGTCTATATATTTACTAAAATCAATGAATGGTACACTTACAATGGGTGAATCTAATGCTATGTAAATTATGTTTCAATAAAGTTGCTTAAAAGAAGAGGAAAAGAAACCAAAGTTTTTTAAAAAGGATTTACTTAAGACATTCAAAACTAGAGATTGCCATGACCCCCCTCTGCAGAGCCCCTTCTTTTACCCCATCTTTTGGTAGGTCAGAAGCCATGTAGAAATGAGTGAGGAAAGGAAACAGTATGAACCAGGCCTCTCACTATGACCTGTGAAGTAGGGTGTTAGGCGGAGGAAAGAACACTGGAGGGAGCTCTAAGCAAGAGCAGAAATTGCAGGAATTGCAGGAAGTCCTTGGTGAGGGAGTGAGAAAAGCAGTGTGGGCTAAAGTCGAAATGAAGACATGGGTTAGGCCACACCAGGCTTGCAGCCATGGCAGGGGTTTGGAAATATGATCCTCGGCACAAAAGAAACCAGGGATGTGAAAGCAGAGAGCAACATCACATGTTAAGAGTTGATCTAGCTGTTCGGTGGAAAAATGATATAATCCTGAGGGCACGGACGTGGGTTTGTTCATGGACACGGGTTTGTTTACCTTTGTCACTGTCACTGAGAGGAAACTAGGAGCTGTACAACAAATGTTTGTCAAAGAAATCAAGGTACAATACTCATTTATTCCCATAGTTTGCACAAACTGGCTAAAAAAGGCTGACCCCACAAAAACTAGATATGAGTCCTCTGTAAGCAGTATACAGAGTCCATGACTGAGCTCCACCTTCAAAGAGGAAAGAGAACGTCATCTCCCTGTGTTACCATAGCGAGGTTTTCCCTCCCATCACCCCTCCCTGACTCTTCATTAGGCAGATTCAGGCCAGAGGAGAGGTCATCTCTATAAGGTGACCCATTAGTAGAGGTGAAAGAAGCAGGGATTCCCTCTCCAACTTTCCATGCCAAAAGGCATAGACTCCTTGAATTGCTTGGGACTGTGCTGAGGCCCCAGGGAAAACTCCAGTCTTTCACTGAACACCAACTGCATAGGCTTAAAGTCATGGCAGGCGAAGGAGCAGAAGCTCTTCATTTCTAAGATGTCCTCACCTGTGCTTTATTAAGCAGACTAAAAGCATTGCTGCTAAGTGTCTTCATATTGATGGTGGCCAGCACTATGGAGAGAAGAAAGAGGCAGTGTTAAATGTGTCATCATGTAAGGGGGAAATGGAGGGGTGCAGCAGAAGGGAAGGCATGTTAATAGTAAAGGTAATGGGTGCATCCCACGCTACAATGTACAAGGACTTCCACAGACATCCCATCAATTTGACATTTGCAAGGTCACCAGGAAGTAAGAAGGGCAAGACAGGTGGTTAAAGTTAACCACAGTACCCAAAGAAGTGATATAGGCCAAGGTCGCAAAACTTCATCAGAGCCAGGAACTGAACACAGGCTTCCGGTCCCCAAGTTTAGCACACTGTACCATGCTCCCTCTCTTAAAATCTCTTAAATAATGTACAGAAGAGCCACCAAAAACGAGGAAGGAACAGCAGTATATATAAGCAACTAATCTAGAGCTAAAGATTACCTGACAGATCCCTGGACCCATCCTTTGGCTCATGACCTCAATATCATCACTTGGTGGTTCTATTATGAACTGTCCTGCTACTTTATTCTCCAGGATCTACCACATGTCCACTCTGAGTTTCAGACTGTAGGATCCCAGGACTGGGACTTTGCCTAGGCTAAGTTTCTTATACAATACCTATCTTCTAATTCTCCATGTGGTTCTTAGATGTTGGTGGAGATGGCTCTGATCCTAAACTATCCCCAACACTAATTAGGATTCTGAGCCACAGCAAAATTATGAAATATGGAAAGATGAACCACAGAAAAATTATGAGGACAGAAGAGTTCTGTTCAGTAACAGCACTGATGTAACGGTCTGTTTAAAGACAACAGGCACGAAGTAAAAATGCTGGAGTTAGCAACTGAATTCTTAGCTTTGACCTTGAGTCTTCATTATTCTAATATCAAATCTCTGGATCCATTTCAATGTACATGGAAAAGAGAGGCATCAGAGATATATTTGGTTCTCTCTAAGACTTGCTCAAGATTTAAATTGGGTAGCTAAGAGCCTCAGTTCTTCCTTAAACCAAAAACCAAACCTGTTGCCATCAAGTCGATTCTGACTCACGGCGACCCTATAGGACAGAGTAGACTGCCCCATACGCTTTCCAAGGACTGCCTGGTGGATTTGAACCGCTGATCTTTTGGTTAGCAGCTGTAGCTCTTAACTATTACGCCAAAACCCTCGATGGCAACAGCTCAGCTCTTCCTTAAGATACTCTAAATTTGTACCTCCTTCTATGTAACCTTTTAGCACGTCTCTCTCATTATCCGAGGTCAAGAGCAGTTCAACAATCCCTCTTTGCAGCAGGGCCTATGGAGAAAACAGAACAAAATGAACCCCCCTTCCCTTGCTCCCATGACAAAAAGGAAATCAAGGAAATTAGGAAATAAATACAACCAGGATTCACACTGGCAGGGACTGAACTCCAAACCTACCCCCTGTAACTTAGTAAAAGGAGGATCCCTGTCTCTATGTTAGCCATTCTGGTGCTTTCCATGATCAACAGCAAAATCAGTGAGTGTGGGCTCAGACACCCATGGTCCCAGCCCCCGGGAAAGCATACTGCTGAGCAGGGTCCTTCGTGCTGCTAATGTAACAGGAGACACCCTGTGGGAGGATCTAAATCAAAGAGAAAGCGAGAAGACTTGGGGAATATATTACATTCTGAGATCAGACATAAAAGCCACAAAACCTGGTCACATCTGTACACTGTCAGAGGAAACAGGGAAGCGTTTCATGGCTGCAGGAGCAGTCGGGAAATTTCTAATTCTAAAATAATATTCATTAAGCAGCCAAATGACCAGATTGCAAGGTTAAGATTCTGTCAATACTTCTTATATGTCCACTGATCCATATTTGGTCCTAGGAGTGGAGAACAGTGGTAAATTTTTTGAATCAAGAAAAATAATATTGATTGGTGGGGTTGCATCACTCCTGAGAAAAGTCAGGGGTGGGGGGAATGACTCACGGCCCTGTCCAGCCCCAGAAGCCATAGCTCAGGACAGGAGCAGCCCGCACCATGTAGCCCAGCCCTGCCCTTCTCCCCTCATTCCAATTCTTTCTCTTCCTTGCCCAACTGATGGCCCTCACCATTGCTGTCAAGGTCATCCCACCCAGAAGCCTTTGTGTGGATGAAGCTCAGTGGGCAGGACGGAGGCTGAGATGGGGAGACCACCTCAGGGCAGACCACGGAGCCCTGTGATCAGCTTAACAACCTGAGGAACGGTTCCAGATTAGTGTGAAACCTCATCAGCTTCCTGAGTCTGGGGAGTCAAAGAAGGGAGGGGCCAGACTCACCAGAAAGGACAACAGGCAGGATTGCAGCTCTTGCCTGGCCTGAGAAATTCCCACATGGAGGAGCAAATAGCATACAAAAAAGTATATGAATAGTAGAGGCCAGAAAGCTGCAAGGTGCTGGCCGTCATCATTGAGTTCTTGAAGCATTATTTACTATGGGTGTAGATTTGCCAATCCTAGCTTTAATGAAAATTTATTAATTATTAACCTGCTAATACCATCTTCTGCTTCATAATACAATTAATTAAGTACCTCTCAATCTCCCTGGCTATATTATAAATTCAGAGAAATTGAACTTGACCTTATGCATTCTCCCATTCCACAGTGCCTCACACAGTGTCACACAAGCTGCAAGGACTCAGAAAATGCACACCAGAAGAAAAGACAGATTGAGGAAGGAGGCACACAAATATGCAGACAAAGCAAGCCAGGGGTTTCTTACCTGTTGAACATATGGCATGTAGTCTTTATCCTTATTATACGAGCCATATTCATTCTCCACCTGCACAGCAATGATAGGACCTCCCCGGTGGTACTGAGACACAAGCAGATGAGGGTTTAAGAGTGAGGCTACTGGTGGCAAAAGCCTGGGGTCTCTGGATCTGTTGCTAAAAATAACACCCCTGGAGTGGTATGCATAGATCCAAGTTCCCTTACAACTCTGGTGCTGTCTCTCTTGTCAGGGTCCTAGAGTCACCAAGTCTCCTCTGGGCACTTACAACTGCTGCAGGATTCCTACAGTTTTCCCCCTATTTCTCATACTAATTATCTACCTGAATATGAGATCTCAAACCCGAAAATCACCTGGAACCCATCCTATCCACCTTCCTACTTGGTAATTGAAAGGTCCCTCCTTCTGTCAGGATATGTCCCCATTTGTGTGCTGGATCCCACTGCCTACTTGTACCTGTTCTACTCAGGGGCTTGGCTCTTTGGATTGTTCCCTCTTCCATATCTTCAGTCTCTCCTTCAAACTGACTGATTTCCATCATCACAAAATCTTGTTCAAACCTTCACATTATAGAGAGAGAGGAGGAAGAGAAGAGAGAAACAGAGAGACAATGTCTCCAAGAATGTTCTCCTTTAGCTACAAGTCTCTTGCTCTCTCCTCTTTAAGTGCCAAACTTTTTGAGAAAATTATCAGTTGTCTATGCTCACCCTCTCTACTCTCTTACTTCTAACTCACTCCTTAGCCCACTGTAGTAAAACTCCCACCTTCATGACGCCATCTAAACACCATTAACACTGACATAGTTGTGCTAAATTTTAAAAAAGTAAACTAAAAATAAACACACTTCCATTTTCAACTTAATCTTTCAGTATCATTCCACACGTAAGTCTATCTATCCTTGTCCTCTTAAGCTCTCTTTCTTCACTGTCCTTAGCATCACTCTCCTAGTTTTCTTCCTACCTCTTGGGCCACAGGTCTTCATTTTTCTTTGTCAGTTCTTCCTCTAGCCATCTCTTAAAAGTGGTGTTTCCCTTCTGTCTCTTTACTATCTCCTTAAGCAGTTTATTTACTAGTAGTAATTGAAGGCTGTGCTAATCATCTATATTTTGTTGATTCCCAAATCCATATCTTCCACCCAGATATTCCTCTGCTGAACCAAAGATCTGTGCAGGTAACTTCCTCCTTGTCACCTACTCATAGATCTCCCACAGGTACCTCAAACTCAGTGTATCCAAAACTAAGCCCAGAATCTTATCCATTAAAATGTTCGTTCTCTTTTGTTCCAATTCAGGAGGTAGCAGCCCATTGTCCAAAAGATCATCTCACTTCTTCTTAAGTCAACTACCACATCACAATATCGAGTCCTGTCAATTGTACCAGCTAACTAGCTTTCAAATATGTCCACTTATTTCCTCTCCACTGTCACCATCTTAGTCCAAACACCTTTGGCACTCTCCTGGATGACTGCAATCAAATTCCTAGCCCCAGCTAGGAAAAAGCAAACTCAAACCTGTTGCCATCAAGTTTATTCCAACTCACAGCAACCCTATAGGACAGAGGAGAACTGCTCCATAGGGTTTTCCAAGGCTGTAATCTTTATAAAAGCAAACTGCCACATCTTTCTCCCATGGAGTGGCTGGTGAGTTCAAAATACCAACCTTTTAGTTAGCAGCTGAGTGCTTAACCACTGCCACCAGGGCTCCTTCCCAGCTAGGAAATACCCCTTAAAATACATATCAGTGAGGAAGGCAGAATAAGCTCTCTAAAGTGAACATCTGATAACTTCACTTCACCACAAACAGCAATTCCTTGGTTCCCAGTACCTATAGAGTAAATGCCAATCTCCTTAGCTTGCAAACAGAAACCATTATCATTTAGCCCATTTTCCTTACAGCCTCTCCTTTTGCCTCATTCCCACTTCACACTCTATGCTCCAGACAAGCTGAGCTTCTTTTAGTTCTTCAAACTCCTCATTCTATCTCCTGTCATTTGGTCTTCACCCATGTTGGAGACTCCTGACCATTCCCCCCTGCCTGGCTAATAAGGCCTACGACCCTTCAGGTGACTATTTAAAAGTTACTTTCTCTGGAAAACACGCCTTGAGCCTCCCTTCCCCATCAAGGCCTGTTGTATGCCCACTATGAGCATCTTTGCCTCCTCCATAGTAGTGATTTAACACTTTTATTTTAAGTGACTGTTTGTTTCCTATGTTGGGCTATAAACTCATGGGGCAGGGAATCTTTATCTGCACTTCTCACCATTGTGAGCCTAACTCCTACAGTGCACACAGCAGGTGTCAATGATTCCTTATTGAATGAACACACATCTTCTGAATTAATAAATTGAGAGCATTTGTTTTTATTTTTGTACAATATCTTCTTCCAATGTGGAGGATGTGATTTCTAAAATCACCATCGTAAGAGAATTCAGAATTGACCTTATGAAATAAATAGCATTAGAAGAATAAAGGTCCCAACTAAAGCAGTAAGTGCTCTTCAAATATTATTTTTACTGCATAATTAAAACAATGAAAACAACCAATCCAATAAAAAGACCAAAATAGTATTAATTTAGTAATTTACATTTATAATTTTTGGCTTCTTAAAAATTTCTTGGGGTTTTCCATAACCATGATTTCAATGAGATGTTTATAAATTTGCTTTGCTTTGCTGCACATATATGAATGGTAAGTGGCATTTATACTTGTGTGCGGTCTTCCAGATTCAAAATCCTTCTAGTTTTAAGGTTCCAGAATTTTTACTCCTGCCACCCCAAATCACACCTAGATTGCAAAAATACAGCCAGAAACATATGGTTCTTTGTTCATAAGATGTACCTCAATTCCACACAGCAAATCCATGAGTTTAATGTAAGAACTATATCCTCTCCCCATCCTCCCCCCAACCCTGGTGTCACTCATCTCTCCTAAAGCTGTGTAGCAGAAACTTTATTCCTAAAATATCATTCACTTTACTTCCCTTTCCAATCTCATTTCTTCTGTTTATAATTATCCTAGTAAGAGTAACTCACAGTTCAGAATTAATTATAAAGCGCTGAGTCGGTCCCTGTCATAATTTCCTCTAAACAGAAGTCTAAGATAATAAACTTTTAGTCTACTACCTAATAATCCTGGTTTTTATTCCACCTCCAACTATATCTAGAGACAGGTTCTTAAAATAAGATTTATTTTTATTTAAATAATAACCACGTGCCCCTCTTGTTTAGAAGGAAAGTTATATTTTAAAAACTCAAATAAAACATCAACTATCAAACAATTGCTGACTTGTAGACTGCAGATAAAATGTTCCATTTTTGTAATGAACATCTACGTGCTGTAGGTTGATACTGTGATAACAAACTTATTTCTTGACAAGTATGTAAGGTGCAGGTACTCCATAAAGAAAAGGAAAACACGTGGTGTCTGGGCTCTTCACATTCCTGGGACTAAAGCAAACTGGAATGCATAAGCGATACCAAATACACTAATGGGTAGGGGGGTAAAATGACACAAGAATCAAGTTATTTATTGTAGCACCAAATGGAAGAGTCCCAAATCTGTGACCAGGGAACTAGGTAAGTGAATGATGATATATCTATCCTGTGGAATGCTATGCAGCCACTATAAAGGACATCTATTGATATGGAAGGCTTCCAAAATATATTTTCAAGTGACAAAAGAAAAATGCCAAATAGTGAAAATTTTATGTGCTATATAAAGAAGAATACACATACATATGTAAATATATAGAAATATAATAATTATCTTCCATGTGTGTAAAAAATCTCTGGAAAGACACACAAAAAATATGGTAAAATCAGTTGCTTGAGGATAAAATTGAGTGGCTTTGGGACAGGGTGACAGGGGAGACTTTTATTTCATCATAAAATGCTTTGCACATTTTGAGTTTTTTACCAAGTGCTTGTATAAGCCGTTTAAAGATAATTTAAGAGTAAAATTAAGCAGTTTGAAGATCAGTGAGTTTGGTGGATCTCAAGTACATCCAGAACAACAATAACAACCATGAGCTGAAAGCACAGACACCTTTGTGCAGCCTCATCTTGTGTGATGTGAGTCCTTCCGTGAGACTAGACCAGAAGCACTGGCAGGTACAAGGGCAGGACAAGTAAAAGCTTATGTGCTTAAGATGAAGTTCTAGAATTCAACACTGCAGGAATGTCAGCTTCGATCCTAACAGAGACTAAACAAACTATTTTCCCTACATGAATGTAAAGAGAAAAGAAAAAGTAGTTTGGTTTACCTGGAGGGGGACTACCTTCGGAATCAGACGATCAAAATAATGATCAACTGCATCAACAAAGCCCTTGTTGGTTGTCCTCAGCTTCAGGTCAGGGTCTTGTAGCAACCAGCTGGGGGCGAAAGAGGGCAAGCTCAGCATTTGAGACTGGAAGACAGGAGTACAGCTAGCTGGTCAAGGCCAGGGCCAAGGGTGACAGCCAATCCCTTTGTAGGGCTCCCTTCAGCACAGATTAACTTCTTTGATCTCATCCCACAGCACTGGATCACTGAGGGGTCTGGAAACAGTCTGTACTGGGCAAGCTTTTTGGACCATTGTCTCACAGACTAGTGAGATTCAGAAGAAAATATGATCCCCACACCATCATGGTGCTGTGCCCATTATGAAGTGCATTTACCTCCATTTGGCCAGACTGGGGGACTAAGCAGGGGCCAAGGTCATGGACACCATGCCTTAGTGAGAGTTCTCATTGGATATTCTTCTCCACTCTAAATTCATTAGGAATATTTTTACTGAGCACAGTATATGCACCTTAAGCACAGGACTACATTCCCTCAAAGACTTAAGACTTCAAGTGGAGTGTAGGAGCTTACAAGCCAATAAAAACATGTCTTGGTTCACTCGTGAAGTACCTATACCATGAATAGCTGCTACTCTAAAATACCCACTTCCCTCAAGGCCATGCCTTTTCAGCTCCAGAGCTGGTATGAGAGAACAAGCTTGTCTTAGAGAAGAGCAAAGTCTTTCACCCAACTCTGGGGAATCACAATGCTCACCCAGAGGCAGGCAATGGATGAACAGGGATTCCTTCCAGCTCATACAGGTAACAAGAGGTTTCATGGATTCTCGCCCTAAGCCTCAGTTGTCTGGGCAAACAGCCAGCAACACAGGTGAAAGAACTAGCCAAAAGAGAGAGAGAGAGAGAGAGAGAAGGAGGGAGGGGCTGGGGTGCTAAATGCAGTGGAGAATGTGATCTGCCACGAACAAAAGAAAAATCACATTGATCCTGCAGTCCTCAGAACAAGTCCTTTCCCTCTCTAGGGCCTTCTCTTTCCTTCCTTCCTACCACATGAGAAGAGCAGAAGTAAGCCCAGCTCCTCCCTCTGTGGAGAAAGAAGGATGTGATCATCCTAATGTTTCCTCTCCTCTCTCACACACTCGTCTACAGGTCCAGTACCTCAAACTGCTATAAAACAGGAGTGCAACAGACCCTTTACCTCGTGATTACTGCAAGCACTATATGAGATGATATAAGTAACCTACATAGCATAGTGCAAGGCACATAGTACATGCTCAACAAAGGTTATTTTTACTACTATTAGATTAAGATTTTACTTTTAGTAAAGCAAACTACAACCACAAATCTGGATCCTTCCCAGCCCTGCTCACCTGGGCAAGCCCCCCAGGTCAATCTCACTGCAGATATAGGGGCCTGGACGCAGAATCACCCAGAGCCCAAGCTCCGCGGCCATCCAGATAAAGGCCCTAGGGAGGGAAACAGTGTTGGTGACTCTCATGACAGTCAGACCTGAGGCTGGTGGGGGGTGGGGTAGAGGGAGCATGAGCCAGAGGAGGGAGGGAGGATGCCCAGTATGGCACAAAGAATGCACAGCATGGAGCATAGAGACAAAGCTGTTGGCTCTTCGCCTTGCCTCACTCTTTCTACAAGGGGGATGGACCAGGTTAGTAAAGCAAAGGCTGCAGCCCTCTCACCAACAGAGCAGGGAATCCAAAGGTAGAGGCATCCCTGGGAGTGGGGTTTTCACTGTTTGCACAGACCCATGGGGGTCTCTGACCTATGGAAGGGCTCAGAGAGGGTGCTTGCAGGGTCATAACAGTAAAACTGACCCCTAACAGCAGCCCCTGTCCCAGCCAGGTGATGGGCCCACACTGCACCCAAGCCTCCTCCCAGGGTCTTGGACAGCCTCTGTGGGTGCAGTGAGAAGTCTGGCACAGAGGCTGCAGGCCCTACCCCACTGGGGGTAACAAGTGTCCACTGGAGAGCATCTGGTCCTGGGTACAGTGCCTTTCTGAGTGTCCTGAGAACATGGCTTCAGACTCTGTCTCTTCCTGTAATGTCCCATTGTTCCTAAGCAATGCCAGATACCACCTCTCTGCATCCCACCCGGGGTCTGGCAGCAGAAGCAACATCAACACCTACTCCAGATCCAGGTTCCCAGAGAAGTCAAATTTGCCTCTTTCTGGCTCATGGAGGTTCCACGGAACATAGCTGTAATAGGTAAGACAGAAATAGGATACATGTTTTCTTATTTCTTTCTTCTGAATTCCTAGGTCATCCTTAATCCCAAGCCAGAACCTAGGATAGCTCTGCTTTGGAATAAATTGAAGTTTCCAATGACAATTAAATCTCTATTATACAAATGATTATCTTCAATATTTTCTCTTTATCACACAGTTTTGGCTCAAAGTGCCAAAATTTCTATGACTCTAGAATTCTTTGGGTTGATATACAAATGGTATCACTCACCATGTAGGGTTGCTTTGGGATTAAGTGAATTAATACTGTCCAGGGCTTAGAAAATGCCTGGCACAAGTAAATAGTATGTAAGTGTTTACTGACTAACTAAAATTAGTTGTCTTACATTATGTTGGTATAGATGTTTAAGTTAATGACACTATTTTGTGATAGACATTTTTCACATAAATAAGATAAAGGTTTTATGTTTTTAATTATTCTGTCCATTTATAGATGAGGACTCAGGCCCTGGGATGTGATACTTGGAGGCAGAGTTAGAACTGAAGACCAGTTCTGTCTGACTGTAAGCCCAGGCTCTTAGTCATTAAGCTACAATGTTCCTTCCCTTTATGCCACTAAATTTCACTTTACTGACACTGCTGTTTCCATATGTGCTTGTTTTTTGACAGTGGTGTTTCCTCTACATGTTCATCCCATGTACAGAAATAAAAATTGTTCTAAAAACACCATGTAGAGGTCCTCCTCAAGATGGAGGCATAGGAAGTTAGGCACCACAATCTCCCCACAATAATTAAAGAAAATAGAAACAAAATAGAACAAATAATGTGGTGGAACTGATGGATTCTGAACTCTGGAAACCAGCTCAAGAGATAAAGCACCTTGCTGAAAACCGAGGGAAGAGTAAGCCAGCCAACAAGCTAGGAAACTTTTTCTCTCTATCACATGGGAGCTCCCATGTTTAGCCCCCGACAGCAGTAAGCCTGGACCACTTGGATGTAGACTGGGAGCTGCAAATGGCAAGTCATGAACCATGCTCCCTTTAACCCAGGAAAGTGGCAAATGGACTTAGTTTTTGCTGATGGTCTGTTGTGTCATATTCTTCATATCAAGAAACACAGGATCCTCATTAAGAAGCCAGTCTCCACCCACCTCCAGACAGGGATGAAAAAAATTTTTGTACTGTCTCCAGGCTTCATGAAATGAGAGTGATTTTAACTTAATGGTTTCAAACAACAGATTTCCAAGGGCAGATCTCTCTGAGAAACTTTTAAAACAAAAAGAGGAATTAGAAGTTGGTTGAAATCTTCCCTCCCATCTGATCACCTATAGCCCATGAAAAGCCTACTGAGATTATTTAAGGGGTCTGGAAACAAATCAACACTTAAATCAGCTAGGGAAGTGCCTGAGGAACAGACAGTCTGCTGATCTTTCCTAGATGAACTACATCCACCAACCAGTTAGCAACTCCCACTCCCTCAGCCCCACTACAGAGGTGGGAATGGCAACACATGTTCCCAGAACACCTGGCTGGTGCCAGGGTAGGCAATGAGGACTGTCTCCCTTGAGGCTTTGAGGTTGCACAGTTTGCAAAGAAGGCTTGGTCTGGTGGTGTCCTGAAGGGTTCAGACAATTGGGAAGATAGTGGCCTTTTCCTAGCACCAAGTCAGTGCTGGCAGAATCAAATAGCCAGAGGCCCTCTAGTGGAATTTAGGGGAAAAGGGGGAAAGAAAAGAAACACACACAATTACAATCCCTGGGAAAAGAGAAGATTCTGAATTCCATAGCTACCACAGTATAATACTCAAATGTTCCAGGCTCAACAAAAATTATAAGGCATACAAGAATATAGGAAAGGATGGTCAATTGAAACAATGTGAAGAAGCAGAAATCGGCCCTATGGAAGCCTGCATAATGGACAAAACAGAGGACTTTCAAACAACATTAACTGTGCACAAAGAATTTAAAGAACATATAGAAACTAAAGGAAATCAAGAAACAAAATGAGAATTTCAATAAGATACAAAACATAAAAAAGAACCAAATGAAAATACTGGGACTGAGAAATACAAATGCAAGGGAGGGTTTCAACAACAAGTTTGAGCAGGCAGAAGAAAGAATAAATGAACTAGAGGACAAAGCAATTAAACTTATCAAGTCCCAAGAGAAACAGGAGAAAAGAATAAAGAATAATGATCAAAGCTAAATGAAATTGTAGGACACTGTCAAGCGAACCAACATATGCATCATGGGAATCCAGGAAAGAGAGGAGAAAAAGAAAGGGACAAAAATTTATGTATACATATATATATATATATATATAATCGTACTTTAGATGAACAGAACAAATAGATTCTCATTAAACAGTTAGTACACATATTGTTTTATGACATTGGTTAACAACCCTATGACATGTCAACACTCTCCCTTCTCTATCTTGGGTTCCCTATTACTAGCTTTTCTGTCCCCTCCTGCCTTCTAGTCCTTGTCTCTGGACTGTTGTGCCCCATTAGTCTCATTTCGTTTTATGGGGCTGTCTAATCTTTGGCTGAACAGTGAACCTAGGGAGTGACTTCATCACTGAGCTAAAAGGGTGTCCGGGGGCCATACTCTTGGGCTTTCTCCAGTCTCTGTCAGGCCAGTAAGTCTGGTCTTTTTCGTGTGAGTTAGAATTCTGTTCTACATTTTTCTTCAGATCTGTCCGGGACTCTCTGTTGTGATCTCAGTCAAAGCAGTCAGTGGTAGCTGGGCACCATCTAGTTGTACTGGACTCAGTCTGGTGGAGGCCATGGTAGTTGTGGTCCATTAGTCCTTTGGACTAATCTTTGAAAGGGACAGAATATTTGAAAAAATATTATAATGGCAGAAAACTTTCCAGATCCAAGTAAAGAGTTGAGCCTGCAAATTCAGGAAGTTCAGTGAACTCCAAGTAGAATAAACTGAAGGAGATCTACACTGAGACACTTTGTAATCAAACTCTTGAAAACTAAAGACAAGAAGAGAGTTCTGAAAGCAGTAAGAGAGAAGTCCAGTTATAAGGATCCTCAGTAAGATTAAGCACCAATTTCTCCTCAGAAACCTTGAAGGCCAGGAAGCAGTGGAATGATATATATAAAGCGATGAAATAAAAAGAACTGTCAACAGACAGGGTAAAATCAAGACATTCCCAATAAACAAAAGTTGTGGAAATTTGTTACTACCAGACATATCTTGCAAGAATTGCTAAAGAGAGTTCTTCAGATGGAAAAGAAAGGACACTAGACAGCTACTGTAAGCCATACATGAGGAAAAATTAAAAATAAAATAGAGAGTTCCAGTAAAGGTGATGTCATGGGCAAATAAAAGGGCCAGTTTTACGGTATTTTTGGTTAGTAAATTTAGTTGCTATGTTCTACAAACTTTATAACAGCAAATGCATAAGAAATAAGTATAAATTTATCTTAACAGGATTATAATGATGTAAAAGGTGACAACAACAACAGAGATAAGGGAGGGAGGAGTGAAATAGGAATACAGTTTTTGTATGTTAATGTTGTATGTTACTTGTTGGTATCAAGTTAAACCAGGTTGTAAATGTAAGGTGTTAAATGTAATTTGTATGGTAAGCACTTAGAAAATATCTAAAAAGCATACACAGAATATAAGAAGAAAGAAATCAGAAAGACTCAACACAAAAAAAGAAACTAAACACAAATAATGACAAAACTGCAGGAACTGAGGGACAAAGAAGATATAAGACATGCAAAAAACATTTAGCAAAATGACAGAAGTAAATCATTCCTTGTCAGTAATTACCTTAAATGTAAATGGATTAAGCACTCCAAGCAAAAGGCAGAGAGCAACAGAATAGATTAAAAAAAAAAAAAAAGATCCATCCATATGCTGTCTACAACAGACATATGTTAGGCCCAAGGATACAAACAAATTGAAAGTGAAAGGATGAAAAGAAAAATCCACACAAGTAGTAACCGAAAGAAATTAGGAGTGGCCATATTGGTATCAGACAAAATAGATTTTAAGTCAAAATTTGTCATAAGAGATGAAGAAGGACATTAAATAATGATAAAAGGGTCAATTCCTCAAGAAAATACAACAATCATAAATATATATATATGCACATAACTCAGTGCCTCAAAATATATGCAGCAAATAATGAAAAAACTGAAAGGAGTAACAGACAATTTCACAATAATAGTTAGGGACTTCAATACACCACTTTAAATACTGGACAGAATATCTAGAAAGCACATTAGTAAGGATATAGAGGATTTGAACAACACCATAGACAAATTAGAGCTAACAAACAGATATAGAACACTCCACCCTACATCAGAACAAAACATATTTCTCTCCAGTGCCCATGGGTCATTCTCCAGAATAGACCATATTCTAGGTCACAATACAAGCCTCGATAAGTTTTAAAAGATTAAATTATACAAAGTATCTTCTCCAACAACAAAGGGATAATATTAGAAATTAATAACAGAGGAAAGCTGGAACACACACAGATATGTGGAAATTAAACAATACACTATTAAACAACCAATGAGTCAAGGAAGAAATAAATAAATAAAATACACGGTGTTGGATGAAAATGAAAACATAACATACCAGAACCTGTGGGATGCAGTGAAGACAGACTTCATAGGGAAATTTATAGCAATAAATGCCTACATTAAGAAAGAAGAAAGATCTAAAATCAATAGTCTAACTCTACAACTTGAGAAACTTGAAAGCGAAGAGCAAACTAAGCCTAAAGCTACCAGAGTAAATAAAATAACAAAGATCAGAGCAGAAATAAATGAAATAAGGAATAGAATCAACAAAACCAAAGTTGGTTCTTTAAAAAGATCAAGAAAATTGACAAGCCTTAAGCTAGACTGACAAAGAGAAAAGATGTAAATAACCAAATTAAGAAATGAAAGTGGAGACATCAAAATGATCCAACAGAAATAAAAAGAATCGTAACAGAATACTACGAACAACAGTATACCAGCAAACTTGATAACTTAGATAAAACGGACAAATTCTTAGAAGTGCACAACCTACCTAAACTAACTCAACAGTAAGTAGAAAATTTCAACAGACCTATAACAAGTGAATAGACTGAATCAGTAATCAAAAATCTCCCAATAACAACAACAAAAGTCCTAGACCACTTTTTTGCAGGGGAATCCTACCAGACATTTAAAGAAGAATTGACACCAATCCTACTCAAATTCTTCCGAAAGGCAGAGGGAGAAGGAATACTCCCTAACTCATTCCTATGAAGGCACCATTACCCTGATACCAAAGTCACACAAAGACACCACAAGAAAAGAAAACTACAGACCAATATCCCTTATGAACATAGATGCAAAAATCCTCAGCAAAATACTAGCAAACAGAATTCAACAGCATATTAATAGAATTATACATCACAACCAAGTGGGGGTTTATTCCAGGAATGCAAGGATGGTTCAACAACAGAAAATCAATCAATGTAATACACCATTAAGGAGCCACTCAGCTACCAACCAAAAAGCCGGTGGTTCGAACCCAATACCCACTCTGGGGGAGAAAGATATGGCAGTCTGCTTCCGTGAAGATTACAGCCTTGGAAATCCTATGGAGCTGTTCTACTCCATCCTATAGGGTTGCTATGAGTTTAAATTGACTCGACAGCAATGGGTTTTAATACACAATATTAATAAAGCAAAGGAAAAGAACCACCTGATCATCTCAATTGATGCAGAAAAGGCATTTGATAAAATCCAACACTTGTTTGTCTTCATAAAAAACACTCAAAAAGATAGGAATAAAAGGGAAGTACTTCAATATGATTGAGGGCATTTATGATAAACCAATAGTCAACATTATACTCAATGGAGAAAGATTAAGAGATTTCCCCATTAAGACCAGGAACAAGACAAGGATGCCTACTCTCACTACTTCTATTCTATAATGTACTGGAAGTCCTAGCCAGAGCAATAAGGCAAGAAAAAGAAATAAAAGTTATCTAAGTCAGAAAGGAAGAAGTAAAATTATCTCTATTCACAGATGACATGATCCTATATATAGAAAATCCCAAAGAATCCAAGAGAAAGCTGCTAGAACTAATAGAGGAATTTAGCAAAGTTGCAGGGTACAAGGTCAACACAAAAAATCAGTTGAGTTTCTATACACTAACAATGAGAAATCTGAAAAGGAAATTTAAAAACAATTCCATTTATAATAGCACATAAAAGAACAAAATATCTAGGAATAAAGTTAACCAGGGATGTGAAAGACTTACATAATGAAAATGATAAAACATTGCTGAAGGAGACTAAAGAAGACCTAGGTAAACGGAAAGACATTCCATGTTCATAGATTGGAAGACTTAATGTTGTTAAGACGTCAATACTACACAAAGCAACCTATAGATTCAACACAGTCCAGACCAAAATTCCAACTGCCTTCTTTACAGAAATGGAAAAACCAATCCTTAATTTCATATGGAATGGCAAGAGGCCCTGAATAAACAAAGCAATTTTGAAGAAGAACAAAATAAAAACATGCTTTCAGCTATAGTAATCAAAACAGGCTGATATCAGTATAATAACAGACACATAGACCAGTGGAATAAAATTGAGAGTCCAGAAATAAACCTACACATCTACGGCCAACTTATTTTTGACAAGGATGTTACATCCATTCAAATGAGGAAGACAAGTCTCTTCAATAAATGATGCTGTGAAAATTGGATTTCCACATGCAGAAGAATGAATCAGGATCTATGCCTCACATCTACACAAAAAACAACACAAAATGGATCAAGGACCTAAATGTGAAAACTAAAACCATAAAATTCTTAAAAGAAAAAATTGGGATGTGGCTGCAGGGCCTAGTTTTTAATAATAGATTATCAGATATGATAACAAAAATATGAGCAGCAAAAGACAATAGATATACGGGACCTCATAAAAGTTAAACACTTTTGTTCATCAAAGGACTTTATTAAAAAAGTGAAACGACAGCTTACAGATTGGGAAAAATTTTGGGGAAGCATGTCTAATATCCAAAATAAATATAAAACTTCTACAACAACAAAAAGACAAAAAACTCAAACAATGGACAAAGGACTTGAACAGACACTTAACCAAAGAGGATATTTAAATGGCCAACAAGCACATGAAAAGATGCTCTCGACATCATTAGCCATTGTTGCTGTTATTGTGTGCCGTCAAGTCAATTCCAGCTCATAAGATGTGGATCAAAACCACAATGAGATACCATTTCACTCTCACTAGAATGGTGATCACTAAGGTTGTGTGTCAACTTGGCTGGGCCATGATTCTCAGTGGTTTGGCATTTATGATGTAGTTTGGCAGTCGTATAATGATGTAATCATCTCCATGATGATCTGATATAATGTGATCACCTTCATGCTGGCATCTGCTGTGAGTAGCCAATCAGCTTAAAGAGAGTTTCCTTGAGGGTGTGGCCTGCATCCAATATAGGTGGACTTTCTGGCAGGGCTTGTGGGCTTTTGCTCACTCTGGATCCTGCAGCTGACTCATCGTCGGATCTCCAGTTCTTGGGACTTGAGCTGGCAGCTTATCTGCCATCTTGCCTGCCAATCTTGGGATTCGTTGTTCTCCACAGCCTGTGAGCCAGAGGCCTGCTGCCTGACCTGCCAATCTTGGGTTTGCCAGCCCCTGTAGCTATGTGAGTCAGAAGAAGCCTCCAGCCTGACCCACAGACTTGGTACTTTCCAGCCTCTACAACCACGTGAGTCACTTGCTTGATATAAATCTCTCTATATATTTATACACTGTACTGGTTTTGCTTGTCTAGAAACCTAGCCTAAGACTGATGACTAAGATTAAAAGGAGAGAGAGAGAAAGAAAATACCAAATGTTGGCAGGGATGTGGAGAAACTGGAATACCTATCCATTGCTGGTGGGAATGTAGAAAACAGTTTGGCAGTTCTTTAAAAAGCTAAACATAGAACTACCATATGATCCAGCAATTCCACTCCTAGGTATTTACCCAAAAGACTTGAAATCAGTGACACAAAGAGATACGTGTACACCAATGTTCATTGCAGCACTAGTCACAATAGCCAAAAGTGGAAACAACCTAAATGTCCAACAAGGGATGAACAGATAAACAAAATGTGGTACACAGATACAATGAAATACTACTCAGCCATAAAGAGAAATGAAGTTCTGATACATGCTACAACATGGACAAACCTTGCAAACTTTATGCTGAGTGAAATAAGTTAATCACAAAAGGACAAATATTGTATGATATCATTTATGAGATAACAAGAATAGGTAAATGTATACAGACCAAAGTTTATCAGTGGTTACTAGGGGAGCGAGGGAGAGGGAAGGAAAAGTCATGGTTTGGGAAGCAGTGAGTGTCTGTTTATGGTGATGGGAAAAAATGGCAATATGATGGCTGCATATGATTAATATAATTGATAACACTAAATTAAAAAAAAAAAAAACAGACCTGTTGCCATCAAGTTGATTCCAACTCACAGCAACCCTACAGGACAGAGTAGAAGTTGGAAATCCAAAGATTTTCAAGGCTGTAAATGTTTACGGAAGCAGACTGCCACATCTTTCTCCCGCAGGGCAACCACTGACCTTTTGGTTAGCAGCTGAGTGCTTAACCACAGCATCACCAGGGCTCCTTTCACTAAATTGTACAACTAAAAAATATTGAGCCAGCAATAAAAATATGTAAATTCTCTGTCTACTTCCAGTTTTGAAAAGAATTAGATATTTCCATTTCCAGACACCTCCCTTAGGGTTTTTTGGAATTGATCTTTATAAAATTATTTGAAGACAAAACTGTTGTAATCATATGATTGTGGTGAAATCAGAATATAAAATTGTGATACCTCTTGAGTTAGGTTCTGGCACAAAATTACAAAGTTGTTTTTAATCTCTGTAACTTTGAAGTGAAACAGGTTATTTGCCAATATTCATATTACCAAAACTCAATTTATTAACCTCATTTTCTTTTTCTCTAAATGTTAAGAGCTATTTCAAAGTTTTCCAGCCATATGCATCTTGGTATTTTTAACTAACAAACAGCCTTTTATTCTTAAAGACAAACAAAACACCATGTAATTATCTATAAGCACACCTTGAAATATGTCATTAAACTGAGTGCTCATAAAGGATCCAATGACTCCCCTGTAGACAGATTCCTAACGAAATCACTCACTCCCTTTAGACTTCTCCCATTAATACCCTACCTAAGAATTTGATCACAGAGCAAATTAAGTATGAGAAGTGATGCTACTGCTGTACACTCATCATGAATGGAATCATGCTGGAATGTCTATTCAGAGAGAACCCTCAGGCTCGGTTCCCAACCAGAGACTCAGGCTCTGACCGAGATGCAGAAGGTAGGACCCCTTGTAGGAGAACGAGGTCAGGGGTGCTGACCCAGCACTCACGTGGTGAGGGTGTTGAAGCCGCACGCCTTCAGCTTTAGCAATCGGTCTCTCCAGTACGCCCTGGGCACTCGGAAGTAGTGTATGGAGCCCCCGAAGATCAGGAACTTGTGACCCTCCAGCGTGAAGTGTGGATTGTCCCTGCCCTTGCTTTTGGTCTGAAGTCCCAAATACCGGTCCTTCAGCTCAGCAGGGACCAGATGAGACCAATTAAACCTGGCACAACAGGGAGTGGAAGTGGAAGGGAGAGAGGAGGGGAGGGGAGGAGAGGAGAGATACTGCTGAGATGTGAAGGAGCCGTGGTGGCCCTGGGCTGCTAACGAGAAGGCTGGGATCTGAAATCTTAAGACAAATAATAAGTTCTTGTTGGCAGGACATGCTAACATTTCTGGTATTTTTTCCATGAAAGAAGACAGAGCTCCCATCCCTTCCCACTTAGGCACACCTGGACTGGGACTGTAGCACCTTTCCAGCCACGCGGTTCACACCATGTTTGGCCCGAGGAGCAAAGCCTGACATGATAAATGGCAGGAAAAAGATGCCTGCGATTCTCTTCATGGAGAGACTCAAGCTGACAGGAGAAAGGGATAACAGATGGGAAGACCAGGAAGCTGTTCCAGGCGGCTGTTTAGAGAAAAGAGATGAAGGGAGATGGGGAGGAGGAACATTACAGGTGGATTTCCCTGGGCTGGCCTAATTTACAAGGCAGCTCCTCCTAGCACTGGCTAAACCAAACACCAAACCCCTTGCCATTGAGTCAATTCCGTACTGGCAGTTTTCCTTGGTGGTCAAAACCAGGATATAAAATCATATGCCTTGAGGGGTCTTAACCAAATGACCATCTGCACCCCCAAAACACGAAGAGTGCTGTTGCCAACAAGATATTTTTTCAAGACAGACAAAGAAAATACAGCTGACGGGGCAGAGGACGTCCAGGGCAGAGGTTTATTAAGGATTTAAAACAATTGCAATTGGGGAACTACACAGCCCATTGAAAATGGAACCAGGTAGTCCCAGGGCAGTTTCGTTATACAGGTATTCTTATGGGGTAAATAGAGGAACCAAACCATAGGAAGGGCAATTACAGGAAAATCAATGAATGTTGTAATAATCACACTCTGATTGGTTACCGATTATTAATAGTATAATTAGTGATTACAGATAGTTTCACAGGATGCTTACTTACATCACGGTCCCAGGATGCTTACAGGTATTTTCTTTGTCTATCTTGAAAAAATATCTTGTTGGCAACAGCATTCAGACAGCACTCTTCCTGAGTACGTGTGTTTTAAGGGGTGCAGATGGTCATTTGGTTAAGACCCCTCAAGGTATATGATTTTATATGCTGGTTTTGACCACCAAGGAAAAACATGTTTTTCTCAAAAAACATAGCCATTAGACTGGAATCCAGATTAAAATTAGAGAGCATGGCCAGCATAGTATGCCTCTGTCTCAGTGACTGCACTGAAAGCTTTTCCTGAGGCAGATACCAGGAAAAAACTAAGTCACATTTTTGTTTTAGGGCGATTACTTGGTTGCAGAGTGGAGGCTAGATGGAAAACAGACAAGTCATCCCAGTGGTCCTGGTGATGGGGAGAATAAGGGTTTGAATTGCTCTCAAGGTTTAAGTGGCTTGGGTAGATGGTGGTGACATTTATTGAGATCAAAGACACAGGGCCCTAAATAACAGATAGAGCTGCCCCATAGGGTTTCAAGGCTCTAATCTTTACTGAGGCAGGCTGCCACAGTTTTCTTCCTTTGAGTGGCTGGTAGGTTCCATCAGCCGACCTTTCTTTCCGTTAGCAGCTGAGCATTTAACCACTGCGCCACCAGGGCTCCTGTGCAGTAGTCCACAGGCCAGAAACAGCTGACAGGGCAGAGGGCGCCCACGGCAGGGGAGCGCTGAGGACTCTAATCCGGAGCCCACGGACAGGAACAGGCATGGCTGAGACACCGGAGAAGAGGCACTGAGAAAAGGGTTGAGGCGGTGGAAGGGGATTCTGCGAAAACGGTGGAAGCGCTTACTCCACCGAGGTTCAGAAAGGTCCAGGGAGCAGCAGCAGCATCGAGAGCACCTTATCTGAGACCACAATCCCGATCTTCCTTCTGGCTCAATGCGCTGAGCCTCAGGCGGGGTGGGGTAATTACGGTTTCCGCAGAAGATAGAGTTAGGGGAGAGAAAACTCGAAAGGTGCCTCGATGAGGAGACTGGCAGATTTGAGGGCCCAGGAGCGCATCGCAGTCCTAAGAAGCCCTCGCCTCTCAGTTCACTGTAATATCCTCCGGGCCTGGCATGGTGCCTAGCGCAAGTAATACCTGTGGCCGACAGGCTCGCTGGCGGAGCATGGGGGCGGTTGCGTGGTTCGCAGGCAAATGCACCGGGACAGATCCGGAACCACCTCACCGCTGGAAGGGAGAGATGGGCAAGGACCCGCAAGCCCGAGTGAAAGGCAGCATATTTAGCATATTTGTCACCTGAGGAAGGGCAGGGAACTCACCACCGGAGGACGTAGAGCGCGGGTCTCAGGCGCCGCCGCTGCCGCCCCTCGCCGCCGCCTCGGGCCCGCGCTGCGCTGGGAGCCGATTCCAGCTGGCTTGGCGGCACCACGCTTGGGCGCCGGGGGAGTTCCAGTGGGCCTGGGTCCGCTCCGCGCGTAAGGATCGCGGTGTGCCGGGGTGGGGGCCGAACGCCGGCGCTGTAAGAGGTGCCAGCGGCAGCGATGGCTCGAAGAGGGCGCCGGGGCCTCTGAGCGCGCGCGGCAGTACGCAAGCAAGGACCCAGCCTTGGAGCAAAGCGCAGCCCCGCATCCGACCAAGTGTCAAAACTCCCTCTCTTGGCGCAGACTCCATTTAGCTGGTGGAAGGAAAATGGGAGGATCCTCGAGTAATTAGACCTTGGACTGTGCGTCAATGCCTGAGAAAGGCCGAGATAAGGGGAGGACGCGTGGAGGAGCATTGAGCACAAGCCAGATATCGCGGGAGTGGGCTGTTCCGCTGGTTCAATAACTTGCTGGAGCGCCCTTCCCGTTTCAGATAACCGAGTCTGTGCTGGGAAGGGGCGGTCATGAACAGCACGTTTTCTGCCTTCAAAGACTTTCAAACTGATAGAGGAGACATGCTCATACTTAAATAGTTTCAATTATCTTGAGCCAAGTTCTTGAATAGATTCCACAAGAAGCAATGGAAGAACAGAAGAGGTACACAGATCACCCTGGAGGGTTATAGTTTCCAGAGCCGTGATCCATAAGTGAGAACTGTCTAACGGGAGAAAAGTGGGAATGCGGTTTCCATCAGTAAGAATAGCTTGAAAGTGTCTACATAGTATATGCAAGAATTTCAGTTTGGAATGCTTTAGGTATAAAGTACCCGGGATAGGTCTGGAGAGAGAGGTAGAAGGCAGGTCATGGAAATCTTGGAATGCATGCTGGGCAGTTTAGTTTCTTTCTAGAGGACAATAGAACCAAAACCATTAACCATCCAGCTGAGTCTGACTCATGGCGACTTCATGTGTGTCAGAGCAGAACCGTGCTCCATAGGGTTTTCAGTAGGCCTCTGGGTAGACTCAAATCTCTAACCTCTTGGTTACCAGCCAAGCACGTTAACAGTTTGCACCAGCAACAGAAAATCATTAATCGATTTGTTGTAGAGAAAAACTTGAAGGCTGTTTCAAGTTAAAACAGAGAGATTTATTAAGGGTTTAAAACAATTGCAACTGGGAAACTACATAACCGGTTGAAAATGGAACCAGGTAGTCCCAGGGCAATTTCGTTATACAGGTATTCTTATGGGGTAAATAGAGGAACCAAACCATAGGAAGGGCAATTACAGGAAAATCAATGAATGTTGTAACAATCACACTCTGATTGGTTACCAATTATTAATAGTATAATTAGTGATTACAGATAGTTTCACAGGATGCTTACTTACATCACGGTCCCAAGATGCTTACAGGTATTTTCTTTGTCTATCTTGAAAAAATATCTTGTTGGCAACAGCACTCAGATAGCACTCTTCCTGAGTACGTGTGTTTTAAGGGGTGCAGATGGTCATTTGGTTAAGACCCCTCAAGGTATATGATTTTATATGCTGGTTTTGACCACCAAGAAAAAACGTGTTTTTCTCAAAAAAACATAGCTATTAGTCTAGAATCCAGATTAAAATTAGAGACCATGGTCAGCATAGTATGCCTCTGTCTCAGTGACTGCACTGAAAGCTTTTCCTGAGGCAGATACCAGGCAGAAACTAAGTCACATTTTTGTTTTAGGGCTATCACTTGGTTGCAGAGTGGAGGCTAGATGGAAAACAGACAAGTCATCCCAGTGGTCCTGGTGACGGGGAGAATAAGGATTTGAATTGCTCTCAAAGTTTAAACATGAAGAGGAGGATGTGGATTCAAGAAAAATGTGTGAGGTCAGATTGAGAGCTCTCGATAATTGATTGGATGAAAAAAGCAGTACAGAGAGGAGTCTGATATGATCGCCATGTTTCAGGCATAAGTGGCTTGGGTACATGGTGGTGACATTTATTGAGATCAAAGACACAGGAAGTAATAGAGGCTTGGATAAAGGGGTAAGCATGATGAAACCTGTTTTGGACATACTGAAGCTGAAGTCCCTGTGAGGAGATAAACCCTCTGATCTCTCTCCAAAGCCTTTGCCTCTCCTCCCACTGTTAAGAACAAAAACCCAAAGCCCATTGCTCCACTAGTAGCCAAGTGCATAACCACTATACCACCAGCACTCCTTCACAGTCAAATTACAGTATAAAAATTAATTCAGAATAGCTCCTCTTCTAACTTCATACACAATTAGGCTATTTTAGTTTAATTTTGAGTTTTAGAAATTTAAAAAATTAATTTTTGTTGTAATTATGGAAAATATTCTTGTGGCTGCAAAAGTCGAACTTATAATACAAGGTATATTCAAAGAGGTCTAGACATTATGCTTCTGCTTAAGATCTAGAAAGTCACAAGAGTGCAGTGCTCCACCCTAAGAATGAGAAAAAGATGGATAATCTACAAAATTTCTGAATTCATTAAAGAGCTGAGGTTGCAAGGAGGAAAGTGTATCTGTAATGAGTGAAAAGAGAGATTTAAAAAAACCCAAATTATTCTCTCAGAACAGAGAGTACAGCCTTGGAAACAGTAGGGGGCAGTTCTACTCTGCCCTATAGGGTGGCTAGCAGTCAGAATCCGCTTGACAGTAACGGGTTAATTTGACTACACACCTATTGGGATATAGCATAAGGAACTGCAAAATAAATTCAAACTGTTTTCAGTAGTCATGTTTTTGGTGCTAGTGTTGCTCTTGTTATGCTGATATTATTGTATGTGTATTGTGGGATAAATCCAAAGATGTAAACTGACAAGGTTAAATAAAAACTCTGTAGTCCAGAGTTTAAATTGGATAAATGATTATGAATTTATGATGTTCATAAATAAGTTTATGAAATATATTTCAGGCTTTAAAAATACTCAGTTCTTACCACTGAAAAGGCCTAGAAACAAACACCAATCCAGTAGCAATGAGAGCTTTCATGTACGACAATATCAGAATAATAAGACCAACACTACCACCAAAAAGTGAGTCTTCATATGGAGAAAAAATGACATTGGACACATATTTCACACTGTACATGAAAATATATTCTAGACAGATTGAAGAACTAAATGTGAAATACAGATGTGAAAAACTTTTAGAAAATAATTTGGAACAATATCTTGATAACTGAATGCAGGGAAGGATTCTTAAACAAGGTATGAAGAGTGCAAACCACAAGGTAAAAAACTGATAAATTTTATCATATTAATATTAAAATTAATAATCTTCAAAACACACTACAATAAAAGTCATAAATGAACCAACAGAATATATTGATATAATTAAAAAAGGGACAGTACCCAGAATAAAAAAACTCCTCCAAAGAAAAAGACAAACAACCCATTCAAAAAAAAACAGGACAAAAGACTTGAGCAGATATTTCATTAAAAAGGAAGTTTAAATGGTCAATAAATACATGAAGTCCTTTAAAAGGATGCTCAATCTCATTAATAATTAGGGAAATGCAAATTAAAACCACAATGAGATGCCATTTCATACCCATCAGACTGGTGCAACTACAAGTTTGATAATCCAATTTTTGAAAAGCATGGTAGTGTTAATGTAAAATACACTGCTGGTCTTAATTTAAAACCATATAATCACTTCGGGAAATATTTTGGCATTATCCAATAAAATTAAGTATGCACATGAATACAAGCTAATAATTCTACTCTTCATTCTATTTACCCTAGGGAAACTTTTATAAATGTAAAAATCAGTTGAGCGTATTAGTATGGGTCTCTTTCTAGATTCCCCCACACGTCTGTCAGTTTGTCATACTGTGGGGGCTTGTGTGTTGCTGTGATACTGGAAGCTATGACACCAGTATTCAAATACCAGCAGGGTCTCCCATGGCCAACAAGTTTCAGCTGAGCTTCCACACTAAGACAGACTAGGAAGAAGGACCCAGCAGTCTACTTCTGAAAAGAATTAACCAGTGAAAACCTTATGAATAGCAGAAGAACATTGTCTGATATACTGCCAGAAGATGAGCCCCTCAGGTTAGAAGGCACTAAAAATACGACTGGGGAAGAGCCGCCTCCTCAGAGTAGAGTCGACCTTAATGACGTGGATGGAATCAAACTTTCGGGACCTTCATTTGCTGATGTGGCATGACTCAAAATGAGAAGAAACAGCTGCAAACATCCATTAATAATTAGAACTTGGAATGTTCTAGGAAAATTGGAAACCATCAAAAATGAAATGGAACACATAAACATCGATATCCTAGGCATTAGTGAGCTGAAATGGACTGGTTTTGGTCATTCTGAATCAAACAATCACATGGTCTACTATGCTGGGAACGATAACTTGAAGAGGAATGGCGTTGCATCCCTAGTCAAAAAGAACATTTCAAGATCTATCCTGAAGTACAGTGCTGTCAGTGATAGGATAATATCCACACACCTACAAGGAAGACCAGTTAATACAACTATTATTCAAATTTACACATCAATCACTAAGGCCAAAGATGAAGAAATTGAAGATTTTTACCAACTTCTGCAGTCTGAAATTGATCGAACACGCAACCAAGATGCACTGATAATTACTGGTGATTGGAATGTGTTGGAAACAAAGAAGAAGGATCGGTGGTTGGAAAATATGTCCTTGGTGATAGAAACGATGCCAGAGACTGCATGATAGAAATTTGCAAGACCAGCAACTTCTTCATTGCAAATACCTTTTTTCATCGACATAAACAGTGACTATACCCATGGACCTCACCAGATGGAATACACAGGAATCAAATCGACTACATCTTGTGAAAAGAGACAATAGAAAATCTCAATATCATCAATAAGAACAAGTCTAGGTGCTGACTGCGGATCAGATCATCAATTACTGATCTTCAAGTTCAAGTGGAAACTGAAGAAAATTAAAACAAGTCCGTGAGAACCAAAGTACAACCTTAAGTATATCCCACCTGAATTTTAGAGACCATCTCAAGAATAGATTTTACGTGTTGAACACTAATGATCAAAGAGCAGACGAGTTGTGGAATGACATCAAGGACGTCATACAAGAAGAAAGCAAGAGGTCATTAAAAAGACAGGAAAGAAAGAAAAGACCAAAATGGATGTCCGAAGAGACTCTGAAACTTGAACTTGAATGTCGAGTAGCTAAAGCAAAAGGAAAAAATGATGAAGTATAAGAGCTGAACAGAAGATTTCAAAGGGTGGCTCAAGAAGACAAAGTATTTTGATGACATGTGCAAAGACCTGGAGATAGAAAACCAAAAGGGAAGAACACGCTCAGTATTTCTCAAGCTGAAAGAACTGAAGAAAATTCAAGCCTCAAGTTGCAATACTGAAGGATTCTATGGGGAAAATATTAAAACGAGACAGAAACCATCAAAAGAACATGGAAGGAATACACAAAGTCACTATACCAAAAAGAACAGGTCGATGTTCAACCATTTCAGGAGGTAACATATGATCATGAATCGATGGTACTGAAGGAAGAAGTCCAAGCTGCACTGAAGGCATTGGCGAAAAACAAGACTCCGGGAATTGACCGAATACCAACTGAGATGTTTCAACAAACAGGTGCAGCACTGGAAAGTGCTCACTCATCTATGCCAAGAAGTTTGGAAGACAGCTACCTGGCCAACCGACTGGAAGAGATCTATATTTATGCCTATTCCCAAGAAAGGTGATCCAATCAAATGCAGAAATTATCGAACAATATCATTAATATCACATGCAAGCAAAATTTTGCTGAAGATAATTTTCAAAAGCGGCTGCAGCAGGGAACCACCAGAAATTCAAGCTGGATTTAGAAGAGGACGTGGAACCAGGGAACCGCCAGAAATTCAAGCTGGATTTAGAAGAGGACGTGGAACCAGGGATATAATCGCTGATGTCAGATGGATCCTGGATGAAAGCAGAGAATACCAAAAAGATGTTTACCTGTGTTTTATTGACAATGCAAAGGCATTCGACTGTGTGGATCATAACAAATTATGGATAACATTGTGGAGAATAGGAATTCCGGAACACTTAATTGTGCTCATGAGGAATCTGTACATGGATCAAGAGGCAGTTGTTCAAACAGAAGGGGATACTGCATGGTTTAAAGTCAGGAAAGGTGTGCGTCAGGGTTGTATCCTTTCACCATACCTATTCAATCTGTATGCTGAACAAATAATCCAAGAAGCTGGACTGTATGAAGAAGAACGGGATGTCACGATTGGAGGAATACTCATTAACAACCTGATACATGCAGATGACACAACCTGGCTTGCTGAAAGTGAAGAGGACTTGAAGCACTTACTGATGAAGGTCAAAGACCACAGCCTTCAGTATGAATTACACGTCAACATAAAGAAAACAAAAATCCTCACAATGGGACCAATAAGCAACGTCATGATAAATGGAGAAAAGATTAAGGTTATCAAGGATTTCATTTTACTTGAATCCACGATCAACGACCATGGAAGTAGCAATCAAGAAATCAAAAGATTCATTGCATTGGGCAAATCTGCTGCAAAAGACCTCTTTAAGGTTTTGAAAAGCAAAGATGTCACCTTGAGGACTAAGGTGCGCTTGACCCAAGCCATGGTGTTTTCAGTTGTGTCACATGCACGTGAAAGCTGGACAATTAATAAGGAAGACTGAAGAAGAATTGACGCCTTTGAATTGTGGTGTTGGCAAAGAATATTGAATATACCATGGACTGCCAAAAGAACGAACAAATCTTTCTTGAAAGAAGTACAGCCAGAAAGCTCCTTAAAAGCAAGGATGGTGAGACTATGTCTCACATATTTTATCAGAACCATACTTATCAGAAGGAATCAGTCCCTGGAGAAGGACATCATGCTTGGCAAAGTAGAGGGTCAGTGAAAAAGAGGAAGACCCTCAATGAAATGGAGTGACACAATGGCTGCAACAATGGGCTCAAGCATAGCAACAATTGTGGGGATGGCGCAGGACCGGGCAGGGTTTCATTCTGTTGTGCATGGGGTCGCTATGAGTCAGAACCGACTCGACAGCACCTAAGAACAACATTTCTAGATTCTTTATTCTGTTCTATTGATTTATGTGTCTATCTCTCCACCAATATCACACTCTCTTAATTACTGTAGCTATATAAAACCTGTTAAACCCATTGCTGTTGAGTGGATTCCAACTCATAGAGACCCTGTAGGATAGGGTAAAACTGCCCCATAGGGCTTCCAGGGAGTGGCTGGTGGATTCTAACTGCCAACTTTTTGGTTAGCAGCTGAGCTTAATCACTTAACCACTATAGCTATATAGTAAGCCCTAATAGTGGGTAAATTAATTCCTCTCACTTTATTCAAGAATGTTTGTAGTTGAACTCTTCATAATAACCCCCAACTGGAAAACAAACGAACAAACAAATATTTAGAGAAGTTTTCATAATATTAAAACCTAGGTGGAGTAACATGGAGCAGATTTATTCTTTCACCTTATGCCACTAGAAAACCAGACCAGACAAAATATTTAAAACAAGGTTTTCAGACATTAGACAACAGGCAGTACAGGACAGTTATCCCTGAGACTAGGGAAATAAACAATGAACCCTATGATTGTGCAAGGTGTAGAATCACTTTTCAAAAAGCAATCCAGCCCTTGTTCTCAGTTCTTTCAAGCCATACCAACATGAGAGGCTGATGAATAGGGGCTGACCAGACTAAGAGGTACCACCTGGGGGCCCAGAGCTAACTAAGCCTTATGAGGCATGATGTAATCTACATGGTGAGGCTGATTGGAACCATGAACCCTGAGGCTCAGAGGGCTTCCTTATTAGTGAACATGCACGGGAGAGGGTAGCACATCCCTCTTTTGGACATGAACAATCTGCACTGTGACCCCTCCCAGACTTCACCCTGTATGTCTCTTCATTTGTATCTTGCTTGGTTGTAATAATGTTGTAGCTGTAAATATGGTGTACTCTCCATGAGATTCCAGCAAATT